GATGCATTTCTGCATCGAAAACAAAATTTTGAAAAATGGCGCTTACGTTGTTTTGGCGGTTAGGGTTCGCCACCTAGGACCATTTATAGTAAAGAGGAAGTAGTCGCCATGGACTTATGTCCTGGTAGACGAAAGAGGCCGGAAAAAGGGGACCTAGAACATCAATGAATTGAGACCTTATGGATGCCAAGTTTTAGTCCAAAGGTAGGAAGGTAGTTGTCGTGTACTGACAGCAACAAAGTTTTCTTTTGTTTTTCTGCTCGTTCTACCCTAATTTCCTTCACTCCAACCCATAGTAGCGTACCCTACCCGCAACTGATCGCGTTAATAAAAACTCAGCTTGAAGAACAAAACAGCTGATTATTAGTGGTGCGCTATACATTGGGGAAAAGTTTCTATTAGTGGTGTTCGCACCAAAACNTGATCTGGCACCAACGACACCGACACTGACGCCCGATGGTAGTGCGGACCGGCGAGAATCAAATATGCTTTGAATAGGGAATTGTGAGCGAAACGAAATTTGATTTGTGGTGGACTGGTACGGCAGTACGAGTTTGGTGTTTTTCACTTTAAGTAGGTTGGGTGCCTATTGTGTTGGGAGGCTATTGTGTTTCGTTCTTTTAGCGTCACGCACCCAGATCACAGTCGCTTGGCGGGTTAAAGATATCCCCGGCAACTCGGGTGGTAGTGCGAGTGGGTCGTAACCTTTGGTTGGACCTCACCTTGGGTGCGTCAACAAATAAGGTTCTGTTTTTGTTATTATTGTTTTCTTAATATGTTTTTTTTGTCCTTAAAGATGTTTGAGAATTTGTCTCACAATTTTTGGCTCACCCTACTATTCACATTTTCTTGTAGTTGTTTACATATTAATAGTTTGTGCCGTTCCCCATATAATTGTTATTGTCCCATATCCTTATTTCAGTCGTGCTATGGTATCGCATAGTCTTGTTGTCTTCCCCTTCCCCGCTAACAACTCCGTGGTCCGCACTGAGTCAGCCGGTTGTTATTTCATTTTTTTGTCACTTCCTTTTTGTGCGTATTATTTATTGTTGCGCTCTGCAAGTATATTGCATTAGGGTGGTGGGTTATTTGCACGACACAAAGTGTAGGCGACAAATTGGCTTCGCTGTAAGCCTTTTCGCGCCAAAGGCACAACTAAATTCTATGTTGGGTTTGATTATTTGTTTGATATTTTTGGAGGAGTATATACTTATGTTTTGTAGCAAACGAATGGCGGCAAATTTTGCTAAGTCCAAAAGATGCACCGTGAATCCGATAAGGCCGAAATAATACGAGATCGTTTATTAAAGATCGCATTCTTCTGATTCGTATGAAGTTTAGCTTTGCATTAAATACACAAAATGTTGTATTCAAAGATTTGCGAAAGAATTGAAGAAAACGGCTATAAGAAGTTATTTTACTCTCCAATCAAATTTGTAAAAATGCACCTAGCAACTTTTCGCTCTAAGCTAGCGACGTGTATTATTATGTATGTTTTCTTTATGCATAAGTTCGTAGCTTTGATCTTGAATTTGAAGCGAGCTAGCGGGTGCTTATTTAAGATAAGCTTGAAATAAAGCAACTTAAGCGATGAATAATGTCAACCCATAAAAAAAAGAACGTTCCGTGGATTTTGAACGTACATACATACATACATACCGCTTATCGACGTTCTGCAAAACCACTTAAGTTACATTTGTGTCAAAAATGAGATTTGCTCACTGGAAGCTCCTGGCATCAAGCCCCATCTATTCGTATCAATATATTGATTTATAAAGCTGAAATGGGATTGCTTTATAAAACTCTCTATTTAGGCTCTTTCACATAAGTGGTTTCTGCATTATCTTGTTACGCGGTTTTGCACTTTAAACGACGATATTTATGTAGGTATGTGCTATATACACACATAACCACGTACACATGTACATATGTACATACAAGTATATATACAGTGACGAACAAAAGTATTAGCACAGTGAATTTTTTGCAATATATGCAAAGTTTTTTATTTTAATTTATTTTCAATAATTTTTTTATAAAAACATAGCTCATTCTAAACATACTTTGTCTGGAATAACCTGCGTACAATTTTTCTAAAAAATCTGAATAGAAAGTTGCAAATTGGTATGCAGATTTATTGAATTTTCCTGAATTTTGCACAAAGTTTAGAGCTTTTATTTTTATGTTTTTTTGGTGTAGAATGAATTACATTTTTATAAAAAATTAACGAAAATAAATTAGAATAAAAAACTTTGCATACAATGCGAAAAATTCACTGTGCCAATACTTTTGTTCGTCACTGTATGTATATATGTTATAGCTACATATGTTGGCAAATAAATATGTATGTTTATTTAAAAATATTTATAGGAAAGCATCAATGAAAAGAATTCGCGAAATCGAATTAAAAATTGTTCAGCGACGTGTTGACATTTCAGTTAAAAAACTGCACTAAAATGTGTCGGTGCAAAGTGAAATGGTGACTAGTTTCTTAAGTAAAAAATTGTTTGAATAGAACATAACAAAAAGAAAGTGTAGCATTTATGAAAAATAACTATAGTAAAATTTGTGCAATCTATTGGAAACTAAACTTATGAACAAAAATGGTAGTTATGAAAAAGGTATCGATATTATTCAGCGGCTTAAAATTATATGTACCTGGTGTGTGACCATGGAAAGAATATTTGTTAATGTTTTATTTGTTTAAAAAAACTCGGTTTGTGAAAAGCTACTAGAAAATTTTAACTAATTTTTGTTACAACTTCAAGATGAAGTTCCTAAAGAAAAAACGGGTCAGTGAAAAAGTGGATGTTAAATTTTGTTCTTTTGAGTAGACTTTCTACTGATAAAAATAAATTTCCATTTTGAAGCCGAAAGGAAATTTTTAGTTCACAAATTTTGGTATCGCTTTTTTGGTATCCGCTCATATTATAGAATTTGATTTAATCGTTGCTTTAAAATTTGCACCTCTTAACATTTTGAGCCAGCACCACTGATTAATTTTGCTTGCTCTAGAGAATTTTTGCAATTTTTTCAGGACTGTAGTTTTTGAAAATTTTTTTTTTTTAACATGGAATTTTTTCCAAAATATTTATTCGATGCTTTTTTCGAAGAGTACCTTCGGATATTTATTCGCGGTTGTAACTCAAAGCTATCTTGAGTCAGCTGATGCTTGAATAAATTTATGTAGCTGAATTCATTCTAGCAGCGCCTGCAGAGTCGTGAATGAAAAAGACCTCATTGATCCTGAGACCGATATGAAGTCATCCTTTGATGTTTATTCAAAAGTTGAATAGCAGTTTTGTGTAATTCTTTTGACCACTAAACTACGGATAATCTTTCCATAATGCCATCCTCTCAGCTTTGAGTTAAAACCCTATGTTTAACCCAATAGACCCCTACAGCCCCACATGCAGTGAGCGGATTTAATAAAAGTTGGCTTACTAAGTGAAAAATGCTGCTCAGTCACCTATTTGAGCTTGTCAAATCATTACAAGCATTGTTCCTCTACGGCCGTATTAGCCAAAGCCACCTCGATGTTCAAGAATGCACATAGAGCGATTCCTTTCGAACTTACTAACCACTGTGCTACACACATAGGCAAACTAAATAAGGTGGTGATATGGAAGGGATTGGAATGGCTAAAATTTTCTGTGGTTTAAAAATAAAGAAAGTTAGCAAACCGGTCCTCAAGTAGATACACGCGGTGAACGATGAAATCATCAATGCAGCTCTGGTTTGTTGATGGGATGATAGCATCATCCTTTGAAATATTTAAAGGATTTTACTATCCGGCATTTTTTCCCCCTATCAAAGATCGATCTGCTCTAATCCCTTCTCCTAGGGAACCTAGCTCCTGGTATTTTACAAAGGTCTAGGTCAACCTTAAGTAGGCTTTAAATATTTTGGTCTAATGGTAAAGTACCACAATTTGCAGACTAAATACTCGTACCTTGGGAAAAAGTTAAGTACTGATTCAGGGGCGCACCCAGGAATATATTTTAGGGGGGGTTTTATATTTCTGAAGATATATCACCGGAAAATACTGAAAATTTGCTTCAGATAATACCCTCTTTAAAATACATTTGGCAAGTTTTATGTACAGTATGTAATAAATAAATAAATGTTTTAAAATTCATAAACTGCACTTTATTTACGGATAAACAGAACTCAAACGCTTTTAACCGACTTCAAAAAAAGGGAGGTTATCATCTCGCCGGAATACATAACTTTGGACCACGTTAACCGTTTTCAATAATCCTTTTTTTATTAGAAAGATAGTACCTCAAGGTTCGTCCCGTAATTTGTTTTAGAGATCCGATATTGGATCATGAAGAAATTAACGGTACCCCTAAATTTGAATATGAGAATTGAAGTCGGTTGTGTTCTTTCCTTAAAAACTACTTGTTTAATAAAAAGTTCTATAAACTCAAGATGCGCTCAACTTTCAAAAGTACCTAATCAAAAATTTAAAAAAAGAGTCAGTAAAAATAAATTTATTGATTCCATGAATTTTTGCACTTCTATGTTCATTTTTTGATTTCTGGTTTTCGATAGAGATGGTGATTTTTCACAATTGCAAAATTTTTTTTAATATTTCAAATACCGAAAAAATTTACTGAACTCTCAAGAAAAACGAAAAATTCATATAAAACGACGGACGAGAAATGGAAAAGAAATATTCTTCTACTAAAATTTCTTAAATCAATTTGCAGCTCTCAAGAAAAAAAAGCTCTTATATTTTCTCGCTTTTTCAGGCAACAGAAATTATAATAAATATTTCTTATAATTTCCTTGAGAGCTGGATTCTTAGCTTTAAGATACATATTGTATTTGAGGTTATTAGCTTTAGGGGGGGTTTGAACCCCAAAACCCACCCCTTGTGTGCGCTAATGTACTGATTATACTTGTTTCATTTTATTGTTTAAAATCGTATATTATTTGCAGATCATTTAGCATTTCCTATAACTAAAATCAACGAATGTTCTAACCGTAAGTGAAACGGTCAAGCGCAATGGTGTGCCAATACTCGGATAATGCCATCAATACGCACTCACAGGTCATTATGCCGGAAGGCAATTTTCATTTAATTAACTAAAAAATATATTTAATTAAATTTGACAATAAATAATTGCAAACAAATACATTCACATTACTGCATGAGACAATAAATTAAGCTACATATATTTCAAATGACAAGGTGAACTGATCATGCTCTTTATTATTCAATTTTATTTGCATTTTATTTAAACAAATCGTTATCTATGCTTAGTATGTGTGGGTATTAACGACAGATGAAACCATATATTTTGTAAATAATTGATTTTGCATATATATGTACATTAGGCTTTTGATCTTTTTGAACTAAACATACTTTCCTATTAGCAGAAAAGTCGCGGCATGGTACTGGCCACTGCAATTATGTAGCGAATTTCTTCCTGTAAAATGTAGCATTTTTATCTTCTTGATTTTCAGTACCCTTGGCATTGAGCTAGACATATATATATTCGAATCCACTGGGTTGCTATCATATATCGTAAGATCAGATATCGGAAAGTCAAAATGCCACACCAAGCTTTTCAGTCAATCAATGCTTTTCATGCTTTCCGTGCTTTATTGGGCATTAATTTTTATGCCGATGTGAGCACAGAAAACCACAACACCAGAAAAGCTTGGTGTGGACTTCAAACTTAAGTGAGAAACCTAAGAAACGAGTTCATCGATTGTTCGTCGTTCTCAAAATTTTGGACTGCCTAAGCCTGAGGCCACAAAACAGCTAAAAGCATCTAATCATTCACAGTGTCAAGGATGATCAACGCTTGAAGCCTTATAAAAATTTCTGAAACTTTCCACCGATCAAAAACTAGTTAACTATGAATTTGTGTTCAAAATCAGTCCTGACTTTGTTAACATTTTCTGAAAGTATATCCATCCAGTAGTAGTAGGGGTTTCTTGAGTTAAGGTTCAAGACGACCCTTTCAGGTGACAGCTAATGGATTAGAATGCTCTACGAAAATATTTTCTGTAAAATTTTACTATATATACATTAATTACGCTTAGACATTTATTTTAACAATTTTTCCCAATTTTTTGAAAACTATTTATGCGGGAACATGAATATTTTAGTAGGCAATAAAAAAAAATACGAGCTAACTTTTGCAAATCCAACGAGTGTTTTATTACCAGATATGTATACTTTTAGAAAATATTAGCCCGGGCTGGTTTGAACTGTCAATGAAATTAGTGGGTTCATACTTTTTAGTCATCAATCGACACATAAATTGCTTATCTGAAATTGGCCGTTAGACTCACTTCTGGACAATGAAACATACCTAAAATTTTACTCATATGGGTGCCAGTACACCGGGATATTGAGAGTAATTACAATGCTGATGAATTGGCAATAAAAGGTAGGACATATTTAGTTTCAAAAAAAGTCAAAAAGCCATATGCCTAACATACGTATGCACACATACATATGTATATATAGTATATGCATTGATCTACGCTTCGTTAACTGACCTCAGATATTATTTTCAATTCCATTTAATGATTTTGTAAATACAGCATTTTTGCCGGCTTTTACGTATGTAATTGGCTTTATTTCTAGAAAGCAAGAATATTAAACAAAAAAAATAATAAAGTAAAATAGAAGAAAGTACATGTATACTTATGTACATTAGGGTGGTCCTTAAAAAATCAAATTAACGATTTTTTCAGTCTCACCCTTTCAGTCGGTAACACCACTGTCATAGATATCACATATAAATTTTGATCCCGACTGGAGACGGTTAAGGAGTGTCGCACAGGGGGCAAAGTTCAAATTCCTTAATGGAGACTCAAAAAATTAAAATTAATTTAATTTTTTTTCATCTAATACCCAAAATCGATACCACCACAATGGAAGATATCACAATTAAATTTTGGTACCGATTGTAGTCAGTTAAGACGTCTTCATAGGGTAATCTGAACTTTGACCCCTGTGCGACACGTCTTAACCGTCTCCAATCGGGACCAAAATTTATATGTGATATCTTTGACTATAGGCTGAGGCTCGACGTAGGGGTTGAGGCTTGGCAAATGTGATCTAAAAATTTGCTCCCTACATTTAAGGACCTCCCTAATGTACATAACTAATTATATATATACATATATATATGTATAAATTAATTAAAAATTTAAAATTTTTTCTTCCCATAGCTTTTCAAATTCCAACTAAGCCTGCTCGCGCTTGCTACAACACTCTTGGCCGTAACTCCCACCATCGATGGCGCCAAAATACTCGCAGTCTATGCATATCCGGGCAAAAGTCATTTTATGATGCATCGTGTGCTGATAAGCGAGTTAGTGAAGCATGGACATGAGGTAGACGACAAGACAAATAAAAAGATTAAATAAATACATATTTGTTTCTTGAACTTGACCTACACAAAAACTTTCGCTTTCGATTGCATGCACAATCGCTTGCGCACTAGGTAACAATGATAACGGCATTCACACTGTCGCCGCTCAATCTAGGCAGTAATTACACAGAAATACTCATCGAACCGGTTTACGACTACTTGAAGGACGGTGAGTTGTGTGTGTGTTCACGCCAAATAATTATTCACACTTTACAAAGCTTACTTCTATTGTACATTTCTCTTTCGCTTAGTACAAACGAATGCTGGCGCCAATTCGATTTTTGACATGTCCAAAGACGTATCCGGCTTTTTGGGTATGATTAAATCAATTTGCATAGCCAGCACAGAACATGCGCTCAAACAGGCCAAAGTGCAGGCGATCATCAATGCCGAACACACTAAAGGTGTCTACGATTTGCTGCTGGTGGAACAGTTCTATCAGGATGCATTTTTGGCTTTGGCACATATCTACAATGTGCCCGTAATCAGCACTGCCACATTTGCCAAGGAACATTATATGAGTCAAATGTTTGGCCTAATAACGCCTTGGTCATATGTGCCACATGGATCGCTGCCACTCACAGATCGCATGAGTTTTTGGGAACGCGTACAAAATGTGTATAATTCGCTTGATACAGATTTTAGTAGGGAGTTTAAGTATTTTCCAGTGGTCGATGCGATGGTGAAGAAATATTTCAGACATTTACCGAGTGAGTAAATTCGATTATAAATTATTGATACTGTTATCGGCATTACCATTATCATCGCTATCATGATCGCAGAAAATTTGCCTGTTAAAGATAACCGGCGCTTTGACTGTCTGTCAAATTTGTCGCTCACATGCTATAACTGGGCCTTTAGTAATAATTTTCAATACCAATAATGTTGAGGTTAACTTTGTTTAGTGTCATTTCTATCAAGCCATAATTATTGTTTTTGTAGTGCCTATCTACATATTTTCGATGATTGTTATCATCATCGATTATTCAAGCCCGCATCGATAATTCTCTAAATATTAATAGTAAGCTTAGAGCTCTTCAGGCTTCCAAATGCTACCGTCTTAGCACACAAGCTGGGTTTTATTCTACAGAAACAAATTTAAAAGAAAATACGGTTAAGATAATAGAAAGATACCTTGGTTGCCTCATACCTAATTCGTTTTTTTCTTCTTCTTCTTCATTTAATTTTAAGTCAAATTCCCCAGCGCCTCAGCGATGAACAAAAATCTCTCCGCCATCTTTATCAATAACTACACACCTTTATCGACTGCAGGTCCAACCATGGACAATATGATAAATGTCGGAGGCATGCACATTTATCCACCGAAACCACTTCCCACAGAAATTCAATCGTTTTTGGATGGAGCTGAGCAAGGCGCTGTCTATTTCAGCCTGGGCAGCCAAGTGAAAAGCAAAGATATGCCAGTGGAAAAGCTTTTAATTTTTCTCGATGTATTTCGTAGTATGCAGCAGCGTGTCTTATGGAAATTCGAAAATGAAAGCATTATTAATATACCCGCAAATGTTATGGTGAAGAAATGGTTGCCACAAAGTGACATCTTGGCACACCCTAATGTACGCGTATTCATCACGCATGGCGGGCAGCTGGGCTTGCAGGAAGGTGTGCATTATGCAGTGCCAATGCTGGGTATGCCCTTCTACTGTGATCAGGTATGTGTAGATCTCAATCAAAATCATACCATAATGCCACAAGCAATACAAATTCTTCTTCCTCTTCCCTAACAGCACCTCAATCTGAAGAAAGCTGAATTTGGCGGCTATGCCGTTACCTTGGATTTCCATAAGCTTACACGTGAAACTTTGAAGGACGGTCTGCACCAGTTGCTCTTCAACGCCACCTATCGCGAAAATATCAAACAAATTTCACGCATTTTCCACGATCGTCCAATGGGGCCGCGTGAGACGGCACTCTACTGGATCGACTATGTGATACGCCACAATGGGGCGCGTCATTTGCGCGCTGCTGGCTTGGATTTGAAATGGTACCAATTCTATTTGTTGGATGTAGCTGCTCTCTTCATGGCTATTATGTTTTCAATAATGGGAATTGGTTTTGTATTCGTGCGTTGGCTGTTACGGCGCTGCAGCAGTTGGCAAGCCACAAAAGAAAAAACTCAATGATGAATAGTTTTCAAATACCTCTGTCAATGAAAGTGTATATCCTTACGTTACTTTTAAGTTCTAGACTGGTACAATTACTAATTTTAATATATGTATATATTTTTTTACGTAGAAATAACTGAAATAAAATTAATTCATCTGAGCTATCGCCAGTTGAATCATAGCCAAAGCGAGCAGGTCAGCATTTCTTCCGACAGGTTGGAGATTTCTTTAGAATTGTGTTACTAGTCAGTCCGAAGTAGATTTAGTTTGGACCCCTCATGAGTTATCTAGTTAGCCGCGTTGTTTTCAATGCAGAATTGGATCTCACCCCAATCGGAACCAGCTATGTATGTATGTATATGTACATTTATGTGTATAGGGAAATTTTCCGACTACTATAAGTTCTGTAGAAGAAACGAAAATGAACAGCAAACAACAGGGCACCACTCTTTCGCTTCTTAAAAGTGGCAGGTATGGTAGGATAAATGCGAGTTCACAGTTTGTGGAAGACAAAACACATATACTCTAGAAAAACTAAGTTACATATTAGTGTTGCCAGATTTTTTTTCCAGCCACACGGGACAAACGCATAATTTGTCCCAAAAGTACGGGATTTAGAAAAACTTAACAGGACAAATAAAAAATTAAGGATTTGCTTTAAAAGCCCAACTACGAACCATATATTAACAA